TGTAGACCGATTATTTCAACATGAAAATATGAGAAACAAAAGACCAAAATTATATCATTTGAACGAGGAGAATCCAAAGAATCCAGATTTATAAAAATATTTGTGATCGGATGTAAAATGGTTTCGTACTGGTAAAAATAAAAAATAAAAAAAAACTTTCCGCAGAATTAGGGAAATCGTCTGTACCGAATAAATCAAATAACCAATTCACGTTTTTCGATTATCGAGATGCCGCTCTGAATCGATTCGAATTCTTTTATCTAACGTAAGTCAATCAAAGTTATCGATTTGTCATCAAATCATGATTAATTTTTCTTGTTGATCAACATTGAAAAAAAAATCGAGTAACTCAATTTATTTATTGAATATGAACAATTTACTGATAAATATTGACTCATCTTACACGTTTATTGTCAATCGTCTAATGTATATTTTAAAAATAAAATTTCATTCATTGAAATTATGATTTTTGGATTACAATAGAACAACTATTTTTCTTTTTTTTATGATTATATATAAACAAAATAAAATGTTGAATGATATTGGAAAAAAAGACTTCTTTATCTAGGAAAAAGATATTGTCAGAATATTCTTTATTCCATAAATAAAAAGAATTATGAAAAAAGCATTCTCTTTCGTATTAGTCGGTAGTTTTGATTCGTCTTTTGTAAACAAAATCTTTTTCAATTGATTAAAGTTTCGAACAGTAAACATAAGTTGTAATGATTTCCCATATTAATTATATAATATGAAAGAACAACACGCAAACGATATGCTTGTCTTTCTCTTTCTATGAAGCCATTATTTCTAACAATAAGAAAATCATTGTCTTTACAATCAAACAAATAAATATGAATTTACATAATAAGTTTATTAATCTAGGATTGTTTAAACAATCATTAAATGAGAAAAGAAAAGATTACAAAGAGTATTAAGATAGAATAAGACATCGAATTTTCCCGAGAGAAAAAAAGGGCGACAAGAAATGGACGGATTTCGAAAAGCACACACACACACATATAACTACCTAAGAAACAATAAACGAACAAAAAATTGTTTTTTATTCATTTATTATTTGTCGGAGTTTTTTTTCCAAAATAATATTGCCAGGTGCATTTTTCATTTTTATTTCTCCATTTGTATGACGTACTTCTTATTCACCTGTATTAAATACTGTTAAAATTGAACCATTTGAAAATAATTTTCTTTTATATGTATCTGTATGAACTTATTTTGTTTGATTTGGATGTTGAATAAATTTTTCTCCATTTGTTTTCATAGATATAATTATACCATCAGTTAAATAAATATTTTTTGTTTTAACAGGTAATATATGTTCTTGCCTACCATTAGGTAAATGTTTTTCAATTTGTCCATTTGGAAATTCATATATATGTGTACCATCTGGATATTCAGTTCCAGTTACATTTGCACTTGTATATTTATATATACAACGACCATCAGATAATTATTCTTTATAATCACCATTTTAAAATTGAACACGAATTTGTTTATCATCAGAACTTATATCTTGTTTTGAACCATTTGGAAATATTATTTATTTAGGTAGATCAGATCTAATACATCTAATACGTCCATCACTATGATGAATTTCTTCAATTATTGAATCAGTTAGAATTGTAGAAAGATTTTCTTTAAACGTTATTGATTTTGTTGTTGGAATATTAACATGTGATGTTAGATTAATTGAATCATTATTCATTATTATTAATGGTTGTCGTTTTATCGTCGGTTGATCAAGAAGTGATAAAATTTCTTGATGTCGTTTTGAGAAGTGTTGTGGCGGATGATGATGTACGTGTAGCCATTGTTAATAATGTTTTGTAATCAAGAGTAGCTGGTGGATTAGATTCATTACCATCAATAAAAGATTTTGGATAGTCACAATTGACAAGTGTTGATAATGACCTAAGCAAAAAAATATATTATAAATCAATATCTTGTATGTCAATAAATAGGACAAAGATTGTGAAAGGGTATTTTTGAATTTTATTCTGGAACAAGTGGTGTTTGATTCCCTTATATTTCCTCATATCAATCGAGTGGATTCTCTCTTTCAATAATATAATTGTATGTTGAATACGATTCAAACATTAGAACATAATCAATTATTTAAATTCTATTCTTTTTATTTTTATATTATGATTTTATTGAGTTTTATTGGAATTATCCATTTGAAATATATTTTAATTTTCTTTTTGCATTTCTTTTTATTCAAATAATTAGTACAAGAATAATATTTACAGAGAAGGAAAATATGAATGATAGTCTTGTGAACCAACAAATAGTTTATGTGTAACGAGAGATTTTATTTTAGAACAATTAAGACGTGTCGCATTATTGGTAAAATTATTTGTTACAGTTAATAATGTTTCGTATCGAATTATGAGATTTGTCAAACATGGTAAACGAGTGTTTTTGTCAGAAAGAAATTGTATGACATAGTCATTGTGTACACAGAAAAGATCAAGTTCAAATAGATGATTAAATGTAATTAATGTAGATGAATGATGTTGCTTATTTTTTTGTGGTATATTATTAAGTATAATTAATGTTCGAAGAAAAGGAAAATCTTGAGAGATAATTTGGAATAATTCATGTTCAAATGGACGTATATCATCCATTGATAACAATCGAACTTTATCAAATCTTCCACCTTGAAAACAGCTGTTCATAAATAAGAAATCATTGAATTGATATGGAAGAGAATAAACATGACAATTGCCTCTATTATTTATGAGTTTATCATCGGCAAATATATCAATTGATTGAATTCCTCTTTTAGTAAAACTATTTCGAATGTCATTATTTGATGGAAGATCAATTTTTTTTTTACTATATTCATTCGAAATGTGAGTATGTATACTGAAGATAAATTTGTTGAGTCGTGGCATATAGTTAAGAACTTTATCGTACAATTGATTACCATCGATATAAGTTGATTTAGTTCTTATTACTGAAACAAATAATGTTAATTCTTCAAGATTTAACATTCGACAAAGTAATGGAACAACTTGTTTATCATAATCAAATGTATAACGATTTGTTGATAATGAAAAACATTTTAATTTAAAAAGTTCTTTCTAAAAAAAATGAGACAATCAATAAATTTCAATAATCACATATATACCTACTGTATTATTTATCATCAATGTTGAACGAGCAATTTTCTTGATACGAATGATCAATGTTGATAAAGATGGGAGACATCCATTAAGAAGATAAAGGCAATCATCAAAAGTATTGACATTTATTTTCAATTTAATGAGAGATAAAGATAGAGAATTTCCATATGGAATATTTAACGATGAAATTGCTAGATATTCTCTCGAAGACTTTTGAAAAAAAGTCAAATCATTTAAACATGTACTATATAATAGTATGAATTCAAATATATTTGGTTCACTTTCATTAGATATTTCTGTTTTCTCAATATTAATATCAACAGTAATATGTGTAATTTGATTAGCAAGAAGATGTAACATAGTTTTGTCTTAAATACAAAAATATCAGTAATTCGTGAAATAAAAT